GTAAGTCACTTTTTTTTCTTTTCTTACTATAATTTTTTTTTTTTATTCTTATTACCATGCGAAGCATGTGTTTTATTTAAGAGAAAGAGATAGAGAGAGAGAGAGAGAGAGAGAAAAGAAAGACGTTAAATTAGATATGGCCGGAAGAGAAGACGTTCGTTTGAATGAATCGAAAGTTGAAAAATAAAAAATAAAAGAAAGGATCGAAGAGAAAAGCTGGACAGAGAGAGAGAGAGAGAGAGAGAGAGAGAGAGAGAGGGAGAGAGAGAGGATAGAGATAGAGAGATAGAATGAAGCTTTCTTTCCTTTCTTTTTTGCACGGCATTCTCGAGCGAAACGAGTTGTACTATCCCTGTTTTGATTTTGTTTTTTTCCTTTATCCCGCTCTCGCCTCAATCCCCTACTCCTAGCCCTCTACGCTGTCTCCGGGCGAGAGTCCTGCATAATTTAGACGAGGCTGGATTAGAGGACGACAGAGACACGGACGGAACTTTGAGCGGGTAGGTAGAAAAAGAAAGAGAGAGAGAGAGAGAGAGAGAGAGAGAGAGAGAGATAAAGAGTAAGATAGAGATAGAAAGAGTGAGAGAGATAGAGAGAGAGAGAGAGAGAGAGAGAGAGATGCGAAAAGAGAAGAGCGAGACCGAGGGAGACAAAGGGTGGAAAAGGAGGGTGAAAGAGAGACACGCGTAAAGAGACAGAAGGAAAAAAGGGACAGTGGATGGAAGAAGGGCGTCAAAAAGGGTTGAAGATCGCTTTGCATAGCACCGTTCTTTCGCCTCGTTCTGCCTCGAGGTTGGTATAAAAAAAAGAAAAAAAAAAAGAAAAAAGAAAAAGAAAAAGAAGAAAGAAATAAAAAGAAAAGAGTAGAGTAGAGAAGAGAAGAGAAGAGAAAAAAAAATAAATAGACGGAAGCGCGAAAAAAGAGTCGGGAGTGTTACGGCGAAGTAAAAAAGTTTACGTACGAGTGAAAATGAGATAGAACCTGGCTAAAGAGAGAAACAGGGAGAAAGAGAGATAGAGATAGATAGATAGATAGATAGAGAGAGGGAAAGAGAAAGAGAGAGAGAGAGAGAGAGAGAGAGAGAGAGAAAAACGATCGTTTGCGTAGATATTCGTCGGTTTGCAACGTTTCTTCCATCGACTGCGCTGAGATTTTGCTTTTTCTCGCTTTCCCTCCCTCCCTCTCGCTCTCTCGTTCACTCTCTCTCTCTCTCTCTCTTTCTATCTCTATCTCTATCTCTATCTCTCTGTTATTTCTTCTTTCTTTCTCTTTCGTTTTTTCTTTTTCTGTTTTTAATCTTTTTATTTCATCGATTTTGTTCCTCTACGCCCCCCCCACCCTCTTCCAATGACGTAACCGATACACGACGGATCTTTTTTTCTTTTTCTCGATCCTTCTTTTTTTCTTTTCCTTTCTCTGCTTTTTTTTTCTTCTTTTTTTTTTTTTACTCCGTTCAATTTTTTCCTTCGACATTCGTCCAATAAAAACATTCGTTCGTTATACTCCTTTTCTTTGAAAATGAAAATCCTTTTCTATCTCGTCGACTCGATTGAATGAAAATATAGGAAAATCATAAGGACGATTCGAAGAAGAGAGTACATATATATATATATATATATATATATATATATATATATATATATAAAAGTACGAGCGAAACGAAATCGGTCGTTTTGTATTTGAATGGGAATCACGGGGACCACAACGGGATTCTTGAGAAACATCTCGTGTAGAACCTGTAGGAGCTAAAAGATATGTCTCTCTCTCTCTCTCTCTCTTTCTCTCTCTGTCTATCTTTTTTTCTCTCTGTCCCTACTTCTTTGGCCCTCTCGAGGAAGCACCCTGTTTTTTGTCCGTCACGGGGCCGGCAGGCGCTGGGCCATGCAGAGAAGAGCTATGGGATTTCTTACTGAGGCCTTCTGGAAAAAACAAGGAGGTACGACAATACGTACCGGGGACGATTTAAATAATCCGCGGCATGCAAATGCAAGGCATGAAGATTCTCACGGGGCCAGCCCGTAAGTACCGTAGCGTACCGGTACGGTACGGTGGTGCGTTTGCGAGAATGCGAAAGAGAAAGAGAAAGAGAAAGATTTCCTTCGAAGACAATTGAGCAATCTGCATAGACCGCATACGGGCATCAACATGAGAGCGAGCGAGCGAGAGAGAGAGATAGAAAGACAGACTCACCCCGTTCGGGGATGACGTCGACATTTTCCAGCCCCTCTTATCGCACACGCAAGAGAAAAAAGTCTCGTGGTTGCGTTTCACGTACGAATGACATTAAGAACTATTTTGATCTAACCCTTTTCATCACCCCACCCCACGCCATCTCAATTTTTCTCTTTCCCATTAGATATTTCGTTGAGATTAACGAGAAATAATTTCATATTGTTATCTAACTAGAATCGATGATATTATCGTCGATACATGAGCGAACGTTTAAATTTATTATTAATGATTTCATTTTTTAAGATCTTTTTTTTCTTCCTCTTTTTTTTCTCTTTTCTTTTTTTTTTTTTTTTTTTTTTAAATTACAAAAGATTAACGTTCGATCGTATTCGAAATATTCTCCCCCGGTATCTTTCGATTTCGTACTAGAGTTTTGTTTTCTATCTCTTAGCTCATAGCTTTTCTGAATTTATAAGTTGCATTCTTTGAGAAGTTCCTTGGATCGAACTCACGAATACGACACGCTCCATTTAACGTTGAAAAATCGGTCGACGACGCGTAAAGAATCCTCATCTCCGAGAGATTGAGAAACAGGAAAAATATAGAGAAACGAGAAAGAAAGAAAGAAAGAAAGAAAGAAAAAAGAAAGAAAGAAAGGAAGAGAGAGAGAGAGAGAGGGAGAGAGAGAGAGAGAACGATAGGAAAAGATAGGGGTTGAATCGAGAGAAAGAAAACTAGGGCAGGAGAGTCGAATGAATCGAAAGAGGCTGAGCGCGAACCCTGTAAACACGTATTCGAAGCTTGTAATCTGTCGACGCTTTCGCCCAGCGGGTGGTCAACCCCTTTTTTCCTTCGGGCTGCCTTTACGCCTGCCCGATCGTAATCCCTTAAAACGCTTAGAGGAGCTCTTTAGGGTAATTTTTGCTCGGGGTGGCGGTACCGTTTTATCTTCTTCCGTTTCTTCTTGTTCTTCTTCCTCCTTTTCCAGTATCATACCTCCACCATCCCACCATACCCCATCCCGTTCTCGTCCGTTCCTCGGTTTTTATTTCTCCTCGAGATGCAAAATACCACTTCGCCCGTTCTTCTTTTTCTTCGTCTTCTACGTACGGTAACTGGAATCATTTTTTTCTTCTTTTCTTTCTTTCTTTCTTTCATTCTTTCTTTCTTTCGTGAGAGTCCTTGGCCTTCGGTGGCGAAAAACCACCCTTTACGAAGATTATGTAAAAGAAGAATCTTTCTCTCTCTCTCTCTCTCTCTCTCTCTCTTTTTCTCTCTCTTTCTCTGGTACACGACTCGCTCATCCCTTCGCTACGGTAGGAGAAAATTAAAATAATGGCTCACAGTAGACCTGACCCCTCTTAGCCACTTTTTTTTCTACTCATTCTCCTTCTCTCTCTCTCTCTCTCTCTTTTTCTTCCTTTCTTTCTTTCTTTCTTTCTCTTTCCGATCGACTTTTTTTTCTGCCATCCCTCGCTACTTCTAGCATCGCCCGAGACGAGAATGCAAATCTCGTGCAACGGCATTTTTGTCTCTGAGCTACGTGAGACAAAAAATGAAGTAAAGGTTAGAGAGAGAGAAAGAGAGAAAGAGAGAGAATGAGAGAGAGAGAGAGAGAGAGAGGCGTTCATTGTCTCGTTTCGGCTACCCGTTACTAAGGGAGAAACGGAGAAGAAAAAAAAATTTCTAGCGAATGGGGAAGCTAGTCGTGCTAGTTAAGAGGGTTGCGATCTTTTTTTTTCCTTTTTTTTTTTACTTTGGCTTTCGAGTATCATCTATGGATCGAATAGGTTAATGAATTTTTTCTTTCTCTTTTTTTTTATTTTTCATTTTTAGTAACGTATCTCGTTTACAGAAAAAAAGAGAGAGAGAGAGAGAGAGGAAAACAATTGGAAGGGTTGAAATCTCGTTGCCTTTTTTTTTCGTTCTTTTTTATCGTTCCTCTCTTTTTTTCTTAAAGTCGAAACGGTCACATTTTTTTCCATTGCTTTTTTTTTGTCCCAAAAATTTTCCATCCCCGTCATGCTCAAACAATTCTTACGAACTGTTTGGAAATTATAATTAAATTATACGTTAGTTGTTGATTCGCAAATTTACACCAGGTGGTATATATAAAAAGAAGTAAAAAAAAAAAAAACTGCAAGTCTAATCGCAATATATGATTGTTAGATTTCTCTAACCTTGACTCGTGTAAAGATATATTTGTGGAGTATAAAAAAAAACGAAAAAAAGAAAAACAGAAAAAGAATACATAGTTTATTAGTCATCACTATATAGTCATCACAGTTTATTTAACTTCATAACAATATTTCTCTTTCGACGAATTATTATAATAGTATGGAAATCGAAAAGTAAATTTTGTTTTTTTTTTTTTTAATAATTCATCCCCGTTAAATATCGTTTAAATTGTAATCACAAAATCATTCTTATTGCAAATCATAATATTATTAACATCATCGTCATTGTCATCATCATCATCACTGTTTACATAATAAATTATTATTTATTTATTATATATATATTAAATTACATAATAAATCATTGGAAATACTATTATTATATAATTAATAGAAAAATATTTTAATTTTTCTAAATTATATCAATTAAAACAAATAATAAATGTATTAAGTCAAATTAAATTAAAAATCTAATCTTTTATTTCTTACTTTGATTTCTTTTCTTTTTTTTCTTTTTTTGACATACAATTGACTACATTGAAGGCATGAACTTTAAACCTATAGCAAACTAAATAAGATCAAAAAATAAATTCATATTGTATTTAGAAACTAAATACAAGTGTCCCTGGATACACATGTCTCAAACGAAG